GAGGTAGGATCAAATGAAATGCAATTGAAAAAATCCCAGAAAATCGGCAGGTTTAGTCTCTTCGGAAAATGGTCTTTGAGGAAGTGAGTTGCAGTGCAAAGGACCAAAACATGCCCAAAGAAAGCTCACAGAAGTTGGAAAAAGTCGAGGAGGAAGACACAACTTGGAGGGAAAGTATCAGGGACATGGCATGGATACTTAAAAAAAAAAAATTAAAAAAAAATTGCCAGAGTCAAGCACATACAATTGCAGGCCATATGCCATCAAGTGCAGGGACATGCACCAAAGCTTGCCCAAATTGATCCCCGCTGAAGGCCAAAACACAAAAGAAGGACTTACAAACGCTCTGGAATGGAGATCCCACTCAAGGAACTGCACTTGGAGGAGAAAAAAAAAAATTTTGGAAATTTTGGGACTACAAGGAAATGGACCGGGATTCCATCCAGCGCAGTGCAAAGGAGCAAAACAGCCCAAAACTAAGTTGCCAGATGCTTCAAAATCAGGGGAAAAAGTCAAGGAGGAAGACTCACCTTGGAGTCTTAAATATCAGTAGATTCCCTTCTGATTTGTTTGGAATTTAGTGGGAGGCGGATAGAAAATAGATAAAATAGATCTATTTTTCTTATTTGCCATATGAAATAGGCAATATATTTATTCTTTGAAATAGGACTCTGAGATGACTCTGAGAACACGCTGGGCAGGAGTGTGTTCTCTCTCCCTCTTCCTTGCTGGTGAGTCATCCCAAAACAGAGCCTGGCTGTGGATGGTGTCTCTTTCCAACAGGTAGAAAACATTTTCACCCTTAAAGTCTTGGAGGCAGTTTAGAGGAGGCCCCGGGAATCCAAGGCCAACCAGAGCTCTAGTTCCGGGCTGCTTCTGTCTGAGAGGAATCCTGACATATTTGCCATTTTAAGAGGAGGAATCTTGCATTCGGACCCCAGCTCCTGGCTGCGAGCAGTGGCTCTTTTCCACAGGAAGGAAACATTTCCACCCTCCTGTCCTGGAGGTAGTTGCAAATGCCATTTGACCTAATCAAAATCATCTGCCAAGGCTTAATAATAACCCAGAGAATCTAGTGCATCCCCTGTGTGTAACTTCAGTCAGCTCAGTTGAGTTTTGTGAGAGAGGGCCTGTGTGTTTGAACCTCTGAGCAGCCCTGTTCTGTGGGATTAAGAACAGCAAACTAAATATATTGATATAAATTACAGAAATAATGTATTTGCATTGATTTCAATTATTTACTACCCAGGACAAGAGCTGTAAATGCTGATGCAGGGCACAATGTCTGAAGAAATATTGCAGCAATGAGAGTAAAGCCGATAACCAGGTAAAAACTGTTGTTCACCAAGAGCAACTCAGGGCAAATCTCTTTCTCTCCGCCTAGATGAGAGACCTTGGGGCGTCTGACAACAGACGTGCTCTACAGAATCTTCACCCCTATGGTAACAGGGACTTGACAGCAGTAAAAATGCTTCTAATAGACGTTTTTAATATTACTTTCTCAGTTGTGTTTTCATGTTCTCTCCCCGCCAGGTCCCGCCTACACGGGGCGATGCATGATCTCCTGGAGGGAGCGATGCCGCCTCTCCGCTGCCTGCGGAAGGGAGAACGGGCGGAG